TTGCATCCTACGGCCAGGATGTTTGGAGGGCACCAACCGACAGCCCCGTCCCTGCCCTTTGCGGGCACACGCACGGGCACACACTGCATCCGTTTTCTATCTCTCCAATTAACTTTTGAGGGGGTGCTTTGGTGAGGAATGGGTTGTTTGCCGTCCCAAGGGGCCGACGTCAAAAAGCTCGGCGTCATCGGCCAAACAACGGACATTAACGCGGCCTGCCTGTTTCCAGGTCCGGATTCAGCAAGATGAAAACCTTCTGGGGACTGGTGGTGTTGCTGGTTGGCGGTGAGTAAAGCCGAAAAGAAAACGTGCAAATCTTCTGCCTCCTTCACAGAGGGTAAACGGGAGGCGGGGGGCAACCGGGCTCTCCCTCTCGGGAGCAGAAAAGACCAGGAGAAGACCCTGCCAGGTTAGAAAGGGAGACGGGGGCATCTTGATCAGCTTCCCTTTGGGTAAATGGCCACACTCATCCTGGCAACCCTTTTGGGAGCGCACCCATGACCCACTCTCTAAATCAGGGTCTCTCAACGTCGGCCACTTTAGGATGGGGGGCCTTCAACTGGGGGATTCTGGGGGATTCTGGGAGTTGAGGTCCACCTGTCTTAACTTGGCCGAGGTTGAGAGACCCGGCTTTAAATGCTCAAATTACCCCTGGCCCCACTGATTTTCCCTGCAAGGATCCTCCCCATGAGGACCGCGGTGGGATCCTGGCCTGGGAACAATTTCCATAGAGCGACAAAGACAGATTTTGTTTTAACCCGTCAAAGGTTGGAGGAGGCGGAACATCCTCCTGCCCCACGAGTGCCCTTATCTTACTTTTCCTCCAAGAAGGGCGATGTCCCAGTCACCCTTCCGAGCCGGGCTAAGGCTTCGTGTCTCTTTTAAGCCGAGGGTAACTTCTTCCAGTTGGGAAAGATGATCCAAGAAGAGACGGGGAAGTCTGTGTTGGCCTACGTCTGGTACGGGTGCTACTGCGGCAAGGGCAGGACAGGCCAGCCACTGGACGCCACGGACAGGTACGTCTTCTTCTGGAAAGCCAGATCGGGGCCTGGAAGCCCTGCGGAGCGTTGCCCTGAAAGACGGGTCTGGGGAAAAAAGAATATTGCAAGGACAAAAGGGGGGGGTTCTTTGTCGCAAAGCAGGGCGGGGGCGGTTTGCATTGTGAAGGAAATGGAAGGTTTTCTCTCTGATGCACCGTTATAGCACACGCGACAGGAAAGTGCTAAAGAAACAGGGGAAGACTTGAACGTTGCCCTTCTACACCGGGTGGGTATGCGAGATCCTTGACCTGAGCCCCCTCCCCACGACGGTCCCCATCATCCCCAACAACCCATCCGGGGAGATCCAGATGTTAGAAAGGCACCGGCTTGGAGAAGGCCGAAACACACACGCACACACGCCCTTGCGCCCATGTCGGCGCTCTGCGAAACACCTCCG